CCAAAGATTTTGATCTTTTGTTTAATGAGCATTTTTACGTAATAAAGTTCTATTATTCACAATTATTGCAACAAAAGAATTAGATGACATATACAACTGTATTTCAGTTCAGATCTCTTTTACCTTTTTATGTATAACTGTTCCATTTTTCTATCAATTTATGTAATAATATTTTATTTATTAAACAATTTATGCAACTGATAATAACTATGTAATAACGTATCAACTTGTTAAAAATGCTACCCACAAAATATTGCATCCTATGCTCTAAAATGAAATTACAAAACAATCATTTTATTGCATAAATTAAAAGAAATCGTTATTACATAAATACAACCATATAGAAACAATGTGTATTTGTAGAAACTTGACATATAATGATCATTTGCGTATATTAAATCTGATATGAAAAACTATCTATATGGAAATAAGATATATAATTTCTTTAGGGAAAAGCAATAAGACCCTAATTGGTGTTCTAATAGTAGTAAAGATTACTTCGACCATAATAAACAATAGAAAGGTTTACAAGAAAAGCCTTAATTTGCGTAATAGTCAATCGTGATTGGCATGGTAAAAGCACTATAAAGACCCTTTCTCATTCTTCAAACAAGATTCATACTAACTAACTTCGTCTCCTAAAAACCGTTTATATGGATTTTCAAAAGGGAGTTTCTTTCTTCCTGGCCTTCTTGCTTTGGGGCAATATTGTCCTCGCCAACCAAAATTACAAGGATGCCCTTGCCAAATCCATATTGTTTTTCCAAGGTCAACGTTCGGGGAGGTTCCCAACTTCCAATGGCATCCCTTGGAGAGCCATTTCCGGCCTTTCCGATGGCTCCCTAGCACATGTATGGTTATTATTGTTACCGATACTGATATTATTACTGGTACTGTGTTTGATATTGATACTGATACTAATATGACATTTGCAGGTGAATTTAGTTGGAGGGTATTATGATGCGGGGGACAATGTGAAATTTAACTTCCCGATGGCATATACAACGACAATGCTATCATGGAGTGCATTGGAGAACTCGAAGCCGTTGGGCCCACAACTTGAAAATGTGAGAGAGGCAATTAGGTGGGCGACGGACTACCTTATCAAGTGTGCAACAGCGACTCCGGGCGTACTTTATGTTGGTGTTGGGGACCCGAATGTGGACCACAAGTGTTGGGAGAGACCGGAGGACATGGACACGGTTCGAACCGTGTACTCGGTCTCTCGAACCAAACCTGGCTCGGATGTTGCTGGTGAAACCGCAGCGGCTTTAGCCGCTGCCTCCATGGTGTTTCGAGTGGTTGATAGTAAATACTCCAAGTTGTTGTTGAGAACTGCAAAGTCTGTGTTCCAGTTTGCAACACAATATAGGGGTTCTTATAGTGACTCCCTTGGTTCAGCCGTTTGTCCGTTTTACTGTTCTTATTCCGGATATAAGGTTGTTTTTTCTTTTCATTTTTGCGTACGCTACAAAGAACAATAGATGACAGTCTATCGTTTCATGGTTAGATTGTCATCATTGTCCTCTAGACAAAACCGACCGTCCAACTGAGTAGAGTGGACAGTAACGGTTTCTGTCCATATACAATATTTTTAGAGATATGATGCAAAAAAAATTAAAAACTGAAATTTTTTATTTTTTTTTTTAAATAAAAGGATGAATTGTTGTGGGGAGCGGCATGGCTGCTAAGGGCGACAAAGGATACATCCTACCGGAGTTTTATAAATTCCTTAGGTGCTAATGATGCAACAGATATATTCAGCTGGGACAACAAATATGCGGGTGCCCGAGTTCTTCTGTCTAGGGTAATGATCAATATTTTTCGGTAATTTGGAAATTTTATTCAGTTTTATTAATTTTCATTGCTTGTTTTCTTAGGGGAGTTTGGTGGCAAATGATAAGTCATATGAACCATTCAGACAACAAGCTCAAGATTTCATGTGCAAAATTCTACCAAATTCGCCTTCTTCCACTACACAATATACTAAAGGTATAGCAAGACCCTGCTTCTTTTATTTTTCTTTCTCGTCAATTGATGTGTTGAAAAAAGTAATGATGTTTAAAAAGTAATTGAGAAAATAGTGACATACTTGGGGAAATGAAAGGAATAGATATATGTTAACAAATATGTAATGCGTTAAGAACTAACGGAAAAAGTTTTGACTTTCTTCTTAAGACATTCTTTTTGCATTAAGTCAAAAAAAAATGCGTTGTATATAACTTGTTCTAAATTACAATTTATCACCTCAAGTCTCTGTCTTTCTATTGTTGCAGGGGGTCTAATGTTTAAACTAGCCGATAATAACCTCCAATACGTAACATCCATAACCTTCTTGCTCACCACCTATGCCAAATACATGAAATCAGCAAAAACCACCTTCAATTGTGGCAACATCATGGTGACCCCAAACACCCTAATCAACCTTGCAAGGAAACAGGTATTTTTTATGCTGTTAATCACTTTTCCTTTTATCTTAAAAGACTAATAGGTAGGTATTTATGTATTTTTCAGGTGGATTATATATTAGGAGACAACCCGATGAAGATGTCTTATATGGTAGGTTATGGAGCAAACTACCCAAGAAGAATTCATCACAGAGGATCTTCATTGCCTTCACTAACAACTCACCCTCAATCGTTTGGGTGTGAAGGAGGTTTCCAACCATTTTACTATACTTCTAACCCTAACCCTAACATACTAACGGGTGCTATCGTTGGAGGTCCAAACCAGAATGATTTCTTCCCTGATGAACGAACTGATTACAGTCACTCAGAACCAGCTACATACATTAATGCGGCCATGGTTGGGCCTTTAGCTTACTTATCTGGGAGATAAATTCCCTAATTTACTATAAATTATACATTTAAAGCTTCATGATGCATGTAGTATATGTCCTCGTTGTATCAAAACTGAAAATCAAGTATTTCCCACCAGTAAGGAGAAGGTGAAGTATAAGTATTTTAAGTTGGCAGCAATTATATATAGTTAAACAATCTGTATGATGAATTGATTATAGTTTAAAACAAACAATTGAGACGAACATTTGGGAAATTAAAACCTAAATCACTTAATCACTCCAAAATTCTATTATGTATTTGCTAATTTGTAATCGATGGAACAAATTACCACAAGCTATACGAGCGATATAACTTGTATCGACGTAGTCTGAAAAGTTAAACTTATTATCCAATCGAAAGTGAAGCATGAAAATTTTGGGGTTATATAGCGTAACCTGTTGTGAATCCAATTTGCTTTAGCGAGTGATGAGTTTGAAATTAAAGTGCATCGGAAATCACGAAATTTGATTGTGGGGACGGTAGGGTTTGAACTTTGAAGTTTGAAGGGAAAAGGGGAGGAAAGAAAGCAAAAGTGTTGTGAGAATGTTCATATCAGAATGAATAGATCTTTTTCTTTACCCCCCCCCCCCCCCCCCCCCCCCCAAAACAAAGGGAGGAAAGAAAGCAAAGGTATTGTGAGAATGTTCATATCAGAGTCGATAGTTCTTTTTCTTTACCCCAACAATCACGCTGACATTTTACTTTAAGATAGTTTAAAAAGAAAGAATTCTTGAACAAGAATTTCGATAATGTATCGTACAAGAGAAATAGTTTTATATTAACAACGTATTTTTTTGAGATTTTTATTATAAGAATTTGAATTTAAAAGTGGTTAAAAGTGTAGAAAAAAATGATTGGTAAACCTTTAAATATTTCTATATTATAATAATATCTTCCAAGTAAACTTAATATATTTAAATAAATTTAGTTTTTAAAGTACATGTGTTTGATTTTTACTAGGTGTGAGATCTGTGTATTACATGGGTTTATTAAGAATAAAATTTTAATATCAAGATATAAATATGAAATACTTTATAATGTAATACTTTACATAAAATAATGTAATCTTCAGAAAAAATTGCAAAAGATTTTTAATCGTTTGAAGTATTTATGAGAATTTATTACTAAATTAATAAATGATTTTATTTCTTTATAGAAAATCCATTACAATTTTATGAAATTTTATTTTAAGAAAATGAAAATCTCAAAAAAATGACAAGTCGAAAATAAAATTTCTAAAATTCTTACAAAATGACAAGTATCAAAATGAAGGAGAAGATGACATGTGGCAAAAAAAATACTTTCATTTATTAAAGAGGATATGATAAAATCTGTTTTCGCATTTTTGCAAAATATTTATTTTTCGTATGAACCTACTTTATATATATATATATATATATATATATATATATATATATATATATATATATATATATATATATATATATATATATATGTATGTATGTATGTATGTATGTATGTATGTATGTATGTATGTATGTATGTATTGGTTCTATGGAAAACAAAAGACCCTAAAAATCATTAAAAAAGCATAAAAAAATGCTTAGATATCATAAAACTTTTTTTTTGAATTTTTTTTTATAAAAAATCACAGTTTTATCTTTATATATATATATATATATATATATATATATATATATATATATATATATATATATATATATATATATATATATATAGAGAGAGAGAGAGAGAGAGAGAGAGATGAATGATCATTTGAGAACCCGAAAACTAAAGGTGAAACGTTAGATCAAAAAATTTAATGGCTTAGATTAAAAATGACACAATTGTAATTATCATTAACTGGAATGGCATGATAGACTTTTTCAAAAAGATCACTAGGTCATAATCGGAATTAAATATATTATTCATAATATTTTATTTAACTAATAATATATAATTTAACTCTGAAGAAATCCTTTCTAAAACACGTCTCTTGTTCTTCACATGTCTCCAGATCTCCTATCCATCGGTCATCTTTGTCCTTCCTCAATCGACCACCTCTACCTCTGTTAAAGATAAACAAAGGCTACGAATCAATAATCCTTAATTCGGAAGCAAGCATATGATCACAACTTGCTCGATCTTGCTTATGATGCTTATGCTCGGAAGCTCAAGCTCGAGAACTCTAAGATCGTTATGGTTTTCGCCGATCTTTCATGCAGCTATATAGATCTCATCTCGAAACCTGCTTATAGAGCTTTGTTTGACTCGGATGCAAAATCAACAAACGAAGTGATGCTTCGACAGTTCAAGAAGTGGGTGAAAAAGTGGATTAAGTCTCTTCTACATTGTAGGCATCATGAAGCCGATATGAGGACAGGAAGGGCAACTTACTGGCAACTTACAACTCTTCAAGCATTTTGTCCTGTTGTACAGGTAAATCCATAAATTTTACTGTTACTGAGATTGTTATGTTTTTAAGTTATAATGATTGTTGTTGTTAGATTCTTTTGGGGGATATTGCAGCAGCTAATCTAAGACATTGTGAGTTTTTTCACGTATGGAAAAAAAAAAATTGGAGTACCTCCAGAAAGGTATGAAGCTTCAAACCTTTTTGATTAAATTAAAGTTTTTCTTGGATGAAATATAATAATAGAAAATTCTGGAACTACTCAGGTATTTGTTGGATCATCAGATCATTCATCCCAAAGAAAGGTATTATCCTCTATGTCCAGAGTTAGCAGGGTCAACATATTACTTGTATTAGGCAACAAAAGGTTCTGGCTTCTTGGTTCTATAAATTTTAATAATTCTTGCAAGTTTTGTAAATTTTAATAGGATAAATTTATGTAAATTTTAATACGAAAATCATTATCACAACCAAAATCTCTGAACTTTAGGATGATACCATTATTTGTTCTTCTAGCCTAAATACCAAAACACCCCAAAAACATCATTACACACATCACATGACTCAAAATTTCAAAAATATTAGATTAAAGTTCAACTCTTTCTCAATATATCCTAGATGGTAAAATCTACTTTCTTCCCTAACACTAGAACTGCCAATTCCCATAACACCTTTTGAGCATTTGAATTACATGTGCTCCACATGTAATACACATATAAATTACATGTGATTCACATGTAAATAACATGTAAGTCACATATGAATTACATGTGGTTCACATGTAATTTACATGTGATTTACATGTAGATCACAAGTGAATCATATATGAACTACATGTAAATAACATGTTATTCACATATGAATTACATGTGATTCACATGTAAATCATAAGTGAATAACATATGTACAAGTGATTCATATGTAAATCACATGTATTTCACAGATGAATCACATGTAAATCACATATAATTCACATATAAATAACATGTGATTTACATATAAATCATAAGTGAATCACATATGAATTAAATGTAATTCACATGTAAATCACATGTGATTCATATGTAAATCACAAGTTAATAACATATGAATTGCATGTGATTCATATATAATTCGTATATGAATCACATGTGATTCACATGTGAATCTCATGTAATTCACATATGAATTATGGGTGAATCACATATGAATCTTAAAAGATACAATAACATGTGAATATCATATTATATAATCACATGTAAATCTTACACGATATATACATATGTATTTTTGTGAATGTTCTTGCATTAATTAATATTTTTTTTTATTTTCTTATAGATTGGAAGATTTTGTGGAAAATATTGAAGATGTGAAAAGTGATAAATTGAAGAAAAATATGAAAATCTTGACACGAAAACATGAAAACGTTTTGAAAATATGTAGCGTTTTTTATTTTTTTTATTTTGTATCTTTAAAATACTTGGACTATTTGTTATAAACTAGTAAATAAAAATGAGTTCTTTTTAATGATTTACTTATAAATATTAAAGTATAAAAATATGTAAAAAGTATGCATATATGCACTTAAACGTTGAGTTTTTTTTGTTGGTTAAAAAATTATAGCTTTTTTAAAAATATTCTAGATTTTTTAAAAATTTATTGTTTTTAAATAATTGCAATTTTAAAAAAGAAATTCAATTTTTTTTTAAAACTTCATGTTTTCTAAAAAAAATTTAAAAATCTGCATATTTTTTTGAAATTCAATTTTTTTTTTAAATCCGAGTATTTGACTTGCCATGTTAAGACATTTTTATTAATATTTCCAATAACACAAAAAATCAAACATTAAATAAGATTGGTAAGATGACGATCATGTCCCTAATGAGTTGATTTTGATCTAACATTCTACATTTACTTCTCGTGTTATTAGAAAACTACTAGTTTTCAACGGATCTCAACTATATATATATATATATATATATATATATATATATATATATATATATATATATATATATATATATATATATATATAGTTGAGATCCGTTGAGAACTAGTAGTTTTCCGAAAACTCGAGAACTAAAAGTGAAGTGTTAGATCAAAATTAAGTCATTAAGGGCATGGTTATCATCTTACCAATCTTATTTAATGTTAGATTTTTTGTGCTATTGAAAATATTAATAAAAATGTCAAACTTAACATAGCAAATCAAAATTTTGGATTTTTTTTAAATAATAATTTTCAAAATTTTAAAAATATGCAGATTTTTTAAATTTTTTTAGAAAACATGAAGTTTTCTAAAAAATTGATAACTTTCTTTTAAAAAAACTACAATTTTTTAATAACAATAAATTCTAAGAATCATTAAATTAAATAAAGAAAAATCTGGAATATCTAAAAAAAACTATAATAAAAAAAAAAATCAACGTTTAAATGCATATATGCATTTTTTTTCAATTGCATATGCATTTTTCTTGTACTTTAATATTTACAAGTAAAAAAAAGATATATTTTTATTTACTAATCCATAACAAATAGTCCAAGTATTTTAAAGATACAAAATAAAATATAAAAAATAAAAAATGCTACTTATTTTCAAAATGTTTTCATGTATTTGTGTCAAGATTTTCATATTTTCTTCAATTTATCACTTTTCACATCTTCAATATTTTCCATAAAATCTTCCAATCTACACTTATTAACTAATAACTTTTAATTTCCTTTTATCTCATTTTTTTCCTCTTTATCAGTTGACTTCAAATTAGTGCCTACAGTACCTTGTTCGACAAATGCTACATATACTTTCTCTTTGTCCCTTTTTTGACTCATATTTTTTCAATCATACTAACTACTTTCATTTAATTAATCAATTACATAAAGGTTTTAGTGGCTATATAATCTAAAGTTTTTTTCATTGGTTTGTTTTCTTACACATATTACATTTTTCTTTTGTTCTAACTTTTGGTTAATGTTTTGTGATGATTTAGATATACTCACCTTAGTTTGGTTCTCTAAAAAGTTGGGTTTCCGGTTCTATTCTTGGGTTTCCGGCTCTTTCAGGGTCTAATATAAGAATGGATTCCAATTATCAATTTCCGCTTCCAACCGGCTCTATACCCACCTTAACCGGTCTAATACACAGAACCGAACCGGAGTATACCAGTCCGGTTCTCAATTCTTATAATCCGTCAATACTACTTTTCGGGCTTTTTGGGTCCAAGTCAACCGGTCTGGGTTTAGATTCATTTTCATCCCTAGTTTTGACTATAACGAAACCTTTGCCCCTGTAGCTAGACTTGAAGTAATCCGTATGTTCCTTGCTTTTACCTCATTCTAGAACTTCAAGGTCTATCAAGTGGATATAAAGACAACCTTCGTACATGGGAATCTTTCAGAAGAAGTTTTTGTAAAACAACCTCTAGTGTTTTAAAATTAAGAATTTCCTAATCATGTATATCGCTTGATAAAGCTATCTACAGTTTGAAGCAGACACCCAAGGCATGGTATGACACATTGGCTAGTTAATGTTTGGAGAGTGGATACAAATGGGGAAAAATTGACAACATTATGTTCATTAAGCAATCGGGATCTGATATCATCCTTGTTCAAGTCTATGTTAATGATATCATTTTCGGATCCGCTAATGAAAAACTGAGTTCTGAGTTCACTGAGGTTATGGCCAAGAAATTTGAAATGAGTATGATCGGTGAACTAACTTTATTTTTAGGTTTTTAGGTCAAATAACTTACTAATGAAATCTTTTTCTATGAAGCTAAATACATTGCAGATAAACTGGAGAAGTTTGGTCTTTCTGATAGCAAACCATCAAAGAATCCATGTATTTATCAATGTCTATCTCTGTTGATCCAACTGGAGTTGATGTGAATGAAAATTTGTATCGAGGAATGATAAGATCACTGCTATATCTTACTTCTAGTCACTCTAACATTATGTTTGCCACCATATGGTGTTCTTGTTATCAAGCATGTCCAAAGGAATCTTATCATCTTGATGTAAAAGGATATTTTGTTACTTGAAACATATACCCAATATTGGGTTATGTTATCCTCGTGACTCCAAGTTTAAGCTGGTAGGATACGCTAACTCAGATCATGGTGGGTGTGAAATTGATCAAAAAAGTACTTTAGGAGGAGCTCAAAAGGCTAGGAAATAGACTGGTGAGTTGGTCCAACAAGATCCAACAAGAACCAAATGTAAGTAGCTTGCTCTACCACTAAAGCTGAATATGTAGCCGTTGGTAGTTGTAGTCCTTAGATTCTTTGGATTTAAAATCAGCTTCAAGATTATGACTTCAACTTCACAAAGACTATTATTTGCTGTGACAACACCATTGTCATCCAGATGAATCAAAATCATGTGAAACACTCTAAGTCTAAGCACATCGACATCCGTGATCATTTCATCAGGGATATAGTTCAAAAGGGCAAAGTGAAATTATTCTACGTTCCATCCACCACTCAATTGGCTAACATTTTCACTAAGCCATTAGATGAGAAGACCCTGAATAAATTGATTGCTGATCTCGACATGATTTCAATGACTTAATTATTTTTTGGCTTGCTTTGAAAAACCTTGCTTTTATTTGCTTTCTTAAAAAAAAACAAGTACTTTATTTTGATTTCAAAGAAGTTTACATTGCTTGATAAATTTCTATATTTAAAGTTTACGGGTTCCTTCTTCTTTCTTTATTCTTTTTCTTCGGGTTTATCAATATGTTATCTACAAGTGATCAGCATCTCCTCCATATGGAGTTAGAAAGAGTTGGGGTTATGCAGAATGTTCTAAATGCTCTGGTTGTTGAGGAGAATGTTGTCATCATGTCTTCTTCTTATTGACAATGCCTTATTTGTCCTCCACTCACTGTTATGGATGCAAAAATCCTCCATCGATACAATGAGTCTTAATTTTATCTACTGACTCATTATCTAATAAAACTTCGAGTTCCTTCATATTGATCTTGTCATTTCGATGGTTTCACATATTAGATCCCATTAAATCTTTGTGTAACACCCATGAAAATCATGCCAAATTTGAACTTTTTAAAACATTTAAAAATCATTAAGTTATTACAATTCGTTTTCAAAATAGTATCATATCAGAGTTCCTAGAAATCATAATCATAAATCGAGGAAGTGTATGGTCACACCTTTTCCTTCCTGCAATCATCCTAAGTAACTAAAACAAAATCAACAACTGTAAGCCCGAAGCTTAATGAGTTTTCCCAAAATACCAACGACATACAAATATAACCATATCATATAACAAATACAACATGCATAAAGAGTCATCAGTCTGACTGGACTGAATCTTGGTCCTCAGTCTATCTGGACCACTCTCCGAGCCCTCGTCACGTCTGGAACGCCCTCCTCGAGGCCTTCAACCTATCTAGACTGCTCGTTGGGCCTTTGGACTGACTAGATTTGCCCGACTCGAGCCTGCAGTCTACCCAGTCCACCCTGGGTGTCTTGGCCTACTGCACACAGCAGGACCTGCCTCAACCCTTTCCCCCAAACAAACAAACATATGCACATACATATAAACAATTAAGCATGCAGATCTAACAGATCACTAATCATGGCAACCATCCTATACCCAAGATACATATCTAACCAATCCCTAACATAGCAACCATCCTATAAGTAGGATACTGATCTAACCAATCTCCAACATAGCAACCATCCTAACTACCAGGATGTAAATCAATAACATATCATGCAATAAACCCGAATGCAAATCCGATAAGGGCCGACATTGGTGCCTTAGACTCAGTTGATATAGTGAGGACAACTCACTATATCTAGGGGAAGATCTCTGTACATCTTCGTCACTCCCGGATGGATGGAGAACCTGGACTTGTGGGCCTCATCCATCAATATTTGCCTCACTCTGCCCCAGTATGGCACCCAGAATCTCTCATGCAGGGTCAACAACCCCCGATTGTCGTAATCGAAGGAGACCACCTGGACTTGTGGGCGTCATCCGTCAATACATGTACATCGAAGGTGCATTGGTGTCGTAATCGAAGGTGCATTGGTGCCTTAGACTCAGTAGTCTGGGGGAAGATCTCTGTACATCTTCGTCACTCCTGGATGGATGGAGAACCTGGACTTTTAGGCCTCATCCATCAATACCTGCCTCACTCTGCCCCAGTATGGCACCCAGACTCTCTCATGTAGGGTCAACAACCCCCGATTGTCATAATCGAAGGAGGCCACCTAGCCTGTAATCCTCTCGCACTTTCAGCGCTCCTCCTTTAGGCCCTTAATTTGTGCTTCTCAGATCTGCTCCAGCACTAGAGTAATCAGTGTCATCCTCAGATAGATATCTCGGATCGGGGCTGTAGCCGCCAGGGCGTTGGCCACTACGTTGGTCTTGCCCGGTTGGTAAAGAATCTCACAATCGTATTCCTTCACCACGTCTAACCACTAACGCCGCCTCATGTTCAGATTTGGCTAATCCATGAGGTACCTCAAACTCTTGTGGTCTGTGTAAATAGTACACCGGAACCCGCAAAGGTAATTTCGCCAAATCATGAGGGAAAACACCACAACCCCCAACTCTAAATCATGTGTCGGATAGTTAGCCTCGTGAGGCTCCATCTATCTTGAATCATAAGCTATCACATAACCTCACTGCATCAACACTGCTCCCACACCTGTGATGGAAGCATCATAGTAGACTACGAAGTCATTTACTCCCTCTGGTAGGGTGAGTATCAGTGCCTCACACAATCGCTGCCTGAGCATCTCAAAGGCTATCTACTGCTCAGGACCCCAGTGAAAAACCACATGAGTACATCGAAGGTTTTGAAGCGAGAGATGATTCTAAGGTTCGTATCTAGTTTTTTGTTATAAGTGATGGGAGTTTCGTTAGTCGGTCGGTTAAGGGGAAAGGTCTCTTCGGTAACACATGTGATTGATGTGGTGAGGACCAACCCAATCTAGGTCGTATGATGTCGTTGGAACTTCTCGTTGACACACATTTTAAGTTGGTTCGGAAGGAGTGTTTTTTCGAGCGATAGTGCATCCTGTGTGTACCTTTCTAGTGCTCTCTGTTTTATCCTTGTTATTACTATTGTAATCATTTTGTACCGCTTTAAGCAAGTAATGACAATATAGGTGGTCCGATGGATGGTAAAGATACTTAATAACATGATCCCCGCCAGGTCCATCTATAATCGTTTGTTGTCTACAAGTCATATATAATTAAGGCCGAGAAGATAGTAGACTGAGTGACTCTGCCCTAAATCCACAGCCAGACAAGGAACAGGAAAGAAGGTGGAATCATGCACTCTAAGTCTACAGGTTCTTAGTTATATGACCCTAAGGTTTACACTAAGCCATTATAGCTTACCTGTAAGGATACTTAATTCTATATGAACGATGTGCTTTGTTTGGACGAGGAATCAGTTTACGGTTAAGATCTAGTTGTTAGCAGTTTTCGCAAAAAAAATTAGTTTTTAAAATATTTTTATTTGGAAAATATACCACTGTTCTCAAGTGGTTCCGGGATAGTCTCTCATACGGTAATCATCAGTACTCTTCCCTCTTCGCTGGGGTTTCTTGTCAATGGAGAATCTCTCCTGTAGTGTCCCATTTCGCCACACTCGTAACAGGTCTGACTTACTCCATCGTATGGGACTTAAGAGATTGGTCGTGCTGGTGCCCTGCAGAAACGGATAATATGTCCCCTCCTAAGGCAGTTCTTGCATTACATCTTTTGGCACACTCCGATATGATGTAGGTTGCATTTATTACATTTCGGGAGGGTTCTAGCATATCGACTGTCGGGTGTTGGGGTGGCTGGTGTCATGGCAGCATGAACTGCAACCATCTGTTGTCCATTTGAGGACTCTTGTGTTGACTATCTTTTCTTATTGCTCCCATATTTTTTTTATCATCATACCTTTTGGTTGACTCAGGAATAGGGGTCATTATGCATTGGCGGACTCCATGGTCCACCAGTGTTCGAGCCAGACGTTTGGAACTGTCGAACGTAAGGGGTTAAACTGTTATCACATTTCCTTGGATTAGATGAGGTGGTCCCCAAATTTATCTCTCTATCTTCCTACTCTCACGGGTAACCATCCCAGGGCATAACACGGCTATATTGCTAAATCTATCGGTGTAGGCTACTATATTCGAGCCTGCCATGGTAAGGTTCCACATCTCTTTCTCTAGCTTTTGTATTTCCCCCCTCGGGCAGTACTCTTCTAACATCATCTCTTTTAGATTCTCCTAGCCCATCGTGTTTTCCACTAGTAGGGTCATTGAATTGACATGGCTATTCCACCATGTCAGGGCTCTGTCAGAGAGCAGGCATGCACATATCTCAAAAATTGACTCCGTTTTCTTAAACCACCGCATTAGGGCGATGAGTCCCCTACTTCCATCGAAGGATTTGGGTCCAAAATTCATGGAGTCTTTGTACGAACACTCTCTTGTGTGTCTGTGGCTTTCCCCGATGTGACAATAGTCAATTTCGGGTCAAGTCAAAGTCAAACCGGAAGACTCATTTAGCCCTTGCGTATTAGGGTTTACGTTGTGTATTTACTAAACAACCCGCTATTTTAATGAGAAAACATCATTTGGAAAATCTGTGTGATTGAATTTTTCCTAAGCCTTAAATGTGGTAAACAATGAACCAAAGTGATAAAAAACTAATGCACACTCATCGGGAGTGTGTAAGACACTAAAACATGGCTTAATTGGGTTTACGGACCTTGCATTGCGAAGCTGGACACTCAAAAAGATCACAAACGAAACCTCTCTCAATCGTTTTCACTCTATCTCTTTCTATTTGAAATCTCTCCCAAATCTCTCTCAATAGTTCCTGTAACTTTTTGAAGTCATTCGGGTGATTCCGACCCTTAACCGGGTCAAAAATCGCTTAAAATGAAGTTAAAACGGGTAAAATACCCTAAAAGACCCGAAACCCCCTTTATAGGGCCGAAGCCTCTTAGAACCGAAAGTCCTCTTAGGGACCGAAACCAAGAGGACCGAACACAAAATTTGCTAAACCGAAAATAAGAGGACCGAATCTGAAGGGTGCTCTCGGGCCCAAACCTCGCACAAGACCCGAACCCGAAGGTCCTCTCGGGACCGAACCTCGTAACCAGCGGACCGAACCCTTCGGTCCATTTCGCCTTCGCCCCATTTCGCTCCATCTTCCCTTCGGACCGAACCTTCATTTTGCTTCTTGATGCTTTCAGTCCATTTCGCTTTCGGGCCTAGCATCAGGAGGACCGAACCTCGGCCAGGACCGAGAGGCCTCGCAGAAAGATAAGTTTTTCCCGGTTCTTGACTACGACTTCATTTTAGCTTCATTTTTCATCGTTTTAACGCGGGATTTTCACCCAAAACTTTGTTTTAACATTTAGGAACCTATATCTACTAATTTCCCACGTTTTTGGGGATAAAACCTTATCCAAGAAGAGTGGGTGAAGTACAAAGGTTGAGTGTTGACTTTTCTTTGTATTATGACACAAGCAACCACCGTACCCACTCCATGACTAACCCACACTCCTCCTCACCATACCTTGTCAT